GATTATTCCGCACTCATGCCAAACTTAGTCCAACCATAGTCCAAGATGGGTAGTATAGTTTGTTTGTAGATACGGAGTAAAATTACGGAAGGTAGAAATGATGATATGCAATTGAGTAAGCCAAGTTTTGGATACAAGCGTCAGACATATTCTGCTAACATGCTGTTCCCATGACAGAATTTTACTTATTCGAACACCGAGATAGTCAAATGCAGTGACCACATCAAGGATCTCATTGTCCAGATAGATTTAAATATCATTTGCCCTTTTCAGTGCATAGATTTTGTTTGTTTTTTACATTTGGAATTATTCTGTTGTCTGCCAACCATTGGTCCACTCGTTTGAGATCTTTATTCATTTGCGACTGACATCAAGATTAGGATGTGAACAGTGAGTTTCAATATCGTCCGCATAAAGAGATGGTCTTGAAGAGAGGAAGCTGTGGACTACTGGATTGAAAAGCAAACAAAACAGCGAGGGACCGAGCACAGAGCCTTGTCGAACGTTGGGACGCCGTAATTAATTTGTAACAGTTGAGATTGGACACCTTTACACATGACATATTGTTGCCTGTCAGATAGATATGAGCAGATCCAATTAGCCTCGATTTCTCCAAACCCATATTTCCTTAATCTTTCCAGAAGAACACGATGATCAATAATATCGAAAGCCTTCCGCAGATCGATAAAAGTAGCCACTGAATATTGTTTCTGATCCGCAGCGAGTTTCAGGGAATCTATGACTTGTATTAAAGCTGTCACGGTCGAGCTATGTTTTTGTACGCGTACTGACTGGGTTCGAAGAAAGTTTGGAATTCCTGGTCATGTTCATTCACATATCTTGGATAAGCAGGGTAAAATTGATATCGGTTTGTAATTATCTCGATTTGTAGCTATATTGCCCTTGAAATATATGAAATTTTGGCAATTTTCCATCTATTTGGACAAACTCCAGTCTCAAAGAATTATTGACTATACACAACAAACTTTGATAAATACAGTTCGAGGATATCTTAAGGATCTTCGCCGGGATGTTATCATTCCCAGTAGCTTTGTTGGGATTTATGTTAGCCAACATATTGGAGATTTCAACATCAGTTGTTGGACGGAAATGGAATTTGGTTGGCGAAGAACTTTCCAATGAAGAGGGGAACTGGGATGGTGGATCATGATGGGAGTCAAGGTTGGAAGTAGAAGACGTCGTTGTGGGAGATCTGGCAGGAAGGAGATTTGTTTGCGACCGATGTAAAATGTAAGTTCAAAGAATGGCTAATATCTTTAGGGTCCACTATATCAACGCCATCGACAACAAGTTTATCAATTTTGGTCGTTCAATTCTTCGATGGAAGTACTTTTTTCATTAGTTTCCAAAAAGCTTTAGGATCACCGTGGCAGTCGTTTAATTTGCGTTGGGAAAAGTCAGATTTGGCTTTACGCAACCTGCTTGTGACACAATTCCGAAGACGTCTGTAGATGTTAAAGTCTTCGACCGATTTAGTTTTCAAAGCCTTTTTACGAGCTTGGTCTCTGTTATGCATCAAAACTAGTGCACTACTGTCTATCCACGGATACGAGTTCTTCCTAATTCGCTTATGTCTCATGGGAAAGTAAATATCCATGACTGGCGTAAAAAGTTTCTCCCAAATAAAAAAAACAACTTGTCGTTAGGGTCGTCAAACATGTTCATCGTATCCCATGAAATACTGCTTATAGCGTTTTGGAAGCATTCGTGATTTGCATTTAAGTCAACTTTTCGAGTGAATATTACGCGATGCTTACTATCTTTCTGACGGGTTGAAATCAAAGATCCGAAGATAGGAAAGTGATCACTAAATCCAGACTGTAGAACACCAGTTGACCAGAACAGTTGGGGAGATGATGTTAATTATCAACAGATCGATAAGTGATTCGGAAGAGGCGGTAGATCGTTTCACGTAAGAGTTGTGTTAGTTTGTAGACATTAAGGAACTCCCCAAGAGCTATAGTTTGCTCAGCGGATTCGTCAAGGCAGTCACAATTCAAGTCACCGATTATAATTATCTGTTTATCTGATCTTAGAGTGGAAGAACCATCTTAAATCATAATTATAATTGTCAACAATCTAATATCTGTCTGCAAGCTCACCAGATGTAAGCTCTTCAGCAAACACAATTTCACTTTTGCTTCGGGCAAATGACATGTGAAATGACAACTGAGGAAAAGATTTCTGCAGTCGTTTCTTCAGGCGGTATGGGCGGTAATTAGATACATCCAAACATTCTGCCTCCTTGACTATTTGACTATTTGAATGAACAATTTGCACAGATTAGTCATGCAGAGAATTTCGTTCTTCTTGAGCAGCCTTTTTCTCAAATTTTTTTCACAAAATATGTTGTATGAAATGGAATACATTACATCACCTGGTGCATTTGCATCACCATTTGAGTGAATCAGAAATTCACGTATTTCTTATAACAGTGATTATGAATCTTTTCCTCTAATATGTAAAAGTATCCCCTCATCATTTTTAGCTTCAGCAGCCTCTCGTAAACGTCCTCCATCTATTGTCTCACACAACGAGAGAGCTTCTTTTTTTCTTTTTCTGCTTATCAAAGAAGTCACACAAAATACTGTTATTGTTACAGATGCTATGGCATATATATACACTATGCTTATTTCACTAATTTTGCAAGAAGTAAGGACACAAACTAGAACCTACATACCACTCCCATTTCATTGGAAATGGTGCACAATATTGGTCCCAAAATTAGTTTCATAAAAGAACATAAAAATTTAAATATCTACTCGAAGCAGCATATTTTAGTAAATCAATTTACGAAACAATACCATAGGTTTACATGTATCCCTTACAGAAGAGTACCTGAACAAATTAAACAGGGTATTATACATAATGCTACATAATATTCGAACTATATAAAGCTGTGCCAAGGGTTGGCGTTACATTTGGAAAACCAAAAGACAAGCAAATAGATTCCGAAATAAAAGGCACAGCCTATAAGTTTCAATGCCCAGATTGTTCCTTTCACATAAGTTGAAAATGAGATTTTATTTCAACAGAAATTGCATTATGAAAAATGAGCATAATTTTGTAAAAAATTAATAATTTATATGATAACAAAGATCACATGGATATAGCTTCCCTATCATATGTGGTAATCCGATGAGGAAATTCACTTCAATTTTTAATGAGTAATGATCAACTCATCTATTTAAATAATGAGTAATGATCAATTCATCTCATTAAATATTAACAGGCAACTGAACCTTTTCTCAGTAAACATCAAACTGAATCAAATATGACAAGAAAATATTTAATAATCTAAATAATTTTTTTAGAGCAGAAAAATATCCGATTTTCCACATATATTGTCAAGTAATCATGATTGTACATCCTCTTCATGCTGCAAAATTTACGATGGCCGGGAGTGAAACGATAATTTCACTAGAAAAGCGATAAAGTTCTGGTTTGGATCTTGATAATTTAGCCGTCGGAAAACTTAGGCCCGGTTTAGACGCCGTGCTTTTCATGAGCCGAACTTAATTCATATTTTACTCGAGTAAAATAGGCGTACTTCCAATTTTGATTTAGACAGGCGAGCTTTTCATGAGCCGAACTTAATAATTTGCGCTGCTTCACTTCGAAACCTGGGGCGAGTGACATTTCATAATAAGGAAAAAAGGTTTATGACATACAATCTTGGCATTTCTGAGCGTCTACAGGTTTGCGGTTATTAAAAATTTCAAATGCTTTTTGAAAAGCCTTATTACTACAAACATAGCATAATGCCTGGATATAATGTGTGGGAAAACGAGACCTATAGGCTTAGGGTACTTGCGTAGCCAGCTCGATAAGTGTGGGGGGGGGGGGGGGGGGGGCATATTCATATATTCGTATTCACAGATCGTAAAGACAATCAATTTCAAAAGAAACTAATAACGCAGAACACAAATATATGAATATGTCCCCCCCCCCCAATTATCGAGCTGGCTAGCGCCACTGGCTTAGGGCGAGTTTTTCCACGTTATTCGAGTTCTCTCAAACTACTAAAAGTGTTTCTATAACTGTATGGGTCAAACATAATAAATGTTCTATATTTATTTCATAATATAACTAAAAAAGGATTTGTAGTAGACTCGATATATTTACAAATTCTCATTATGTAATAATGCCGACCTTTCCTCCATTAATTACACTGCAAGAAACCCTTTTTGCCTTTATCAGCAAATATCGCTATAAGTCTTAATTTCGCGACTTTTATGCAAAGAATCTAACGAAAGGTGTATCTTTTGCTACAAATTGACGTATATAAAGAAAAGAAAGGGAAATTCTACCGCGAAATTTGCCGGTAAGGCAAATTAAAATTGTTTTGTTTACGATTGTAAGTTTAGGCGGGAAATTTCCCGTGTAGAAACACGCTTCTCGACCAATCAACGCTCGCGTACTATAAATGTTCTATATTATCATAATTTATGCATTTGGTACGGCTCATGTAAAGTACGGCAGTATAAATCAACATGTGCTTTAGCCGTGTAGCACGCCTGAACTAGGCGAACTTATTAATTTAGCCGTGCTTAATATTAAGTGCAGTGCTTAATTGATTTAGACGCCGTGCTTCTCATGTGCTTAATTCAATGTATTAAGTTCGGCTCATGAAAAGCACGGCGTCTAAACCGAGCCTTATTGCACTGTTTGAGTGCCTCAGAACTTTAATTTTATCCAGGTTAAGACGTAGTTCTCTCCAGGAAAGTAAATAATAGCTATACTTATTACTGTGCACTTACTATCAAAAATGTGTGTGCAAAGCCATAAACATGTATTGTACTTCGCTATCGGAATAATAAGATGAATAACTTATAGTTATACCCAGTTCAGTTTTATTTTTAGACAGATGGTACCAAGTATAATGTTATGCACCAAATTGCATGAAATGCGGCCGAAAATTATATCTCATCATCTCACTCGTCAGCTGTTCTCCGTTTTGATTCGTCTTTTAATTGATTCGTTTAACAGCTATATCCCTGAGATTACAAGGTCCATTAAGTGCAAACGGCACTGGTCGTGTGGAAATATTCTACAATGGGAAATGGGGAACAATCTGTCATGATAGTTGGAATGCAGCTGATGCCAAGGTTGCATGTCGTCAACTTGGTTATACATATGCTGTTAAAGCTCTTCGAGGAAACGACGTTCCTGATGGTACTGGTCAAATATGGTTAGATAATGTCAGATGTACTGGGAGTGAACTAAATCTGATCAGTTGTTCTCATAACGGATGGGGAAATGAAAATTGCGGGCACCATGAAGATGCAGGAGTAGAATGTTCTTCAACAGGTAATTCACTACAATTGTTTCAGTTTAACCGCTCGAATGAAATTGCGGCACACATCAGTCACATAAATACTGGTACAACAAAATTCACCATTATGAAAAAGATAACGGCGCAAGTTACATGCCAGTTTTGTGGACAATTTTCGGATATTCCGTGATGTTATTTAGATAAAAAAATAAGTAAGGTTTTCACAAAATGTCTGTGCTTTGATTAAAAACCAATGCTACGTTAATTAGCAGCATAAATCGTGGCGGTGCATGGAAAGCATGCCCATGCAACCTCGTACCCAGGATCTTTCTTTGGCAAAGACCTTGGCTGCGGCTGGTCACGTGCCTCATCAAAAATTTAGCGCCCGAGGGGGTGTGGGGAAAGTATTAAATTACATCAACATGCTTCCAGTGGGATATTCGTTAAAAACATAAATTTTGCGAATTATTACGTTCAAAATGCTTGCTAATTTTTGTTTATTTTCTTTGCTTTGAATTTACAAGAACATTCTTACATTCTTACTTACAGTCAAGTCAAGAAACGAAGCAAATCGTTACTCGCACTGCTCTCTCGTGTTGTTATTTAATGCATGCTCTCTTCACACTCGAGCGCGGTTATAACAAACGTTTATTGTAATGTTTTTAAAATACGCCATTACATTCGTCTTTTTTGTAAACGTTGATACGCTTTGCACCGGTCCACTTATTACTGCGCGTCTTGTTTATAAGATTTGTAAAAGAAATTAAACAGTATTGTCTATAGGACTGGCTCAATATTAGCAAATGTAAACATTTGATAATAGCCGAACAGAAAAATGTCCATAACTCATAAGCATAGAAAAGATTTCAGTCATTGACTTATCTGGATTTAGTAGATAATTCGTATTCGGTAATTATAGTAAGACTTTAGCCTTTTTCTTGATCTTTATATTAATAAATCATTATGTTGTGTTAACATACTATACTATAATCTATATCACAAATTTACAGTGTCAGATGCGCACAGACTGTCATTGGCGCGGCACTAATCAGCATGAGTTGGCATAATATGCGAATAAATTCCTTCTAATAAATTGTGATTTTTGAAGCGACTCGTGCGTTCTTATATTGTGTCCGAGAAAGCGAAACATCTCGCTTGTAATAACCAATGGGTAACAAGAAGCGAAACTTCTCGCTTCCATGCATACAGACAATGGGCAACAAGAAGCGAAATGTTTCGCTTCCATTCCCACAACACATTTATATACATATATATATATATATATATATATATATATATATATATATATATATATATATATATATATATATATATATATATATATATATATATATATACGTTGTTGTCCATTGTCTGTATGCATGGAGCGAAATGTTTCAATTCGTTTAATTCCATTCCCA